TGTTAATACCGTCTTCATAGGGTTGTATGAAAATAAGTTAGATAATCAGGTAAGTTACCCACTGCGGTAATTGGCCTCTAGTTAAATATACAATGATTATTATTGCCAAGTCTTTGCTGAAATTTTATTTAAGAATTTTGCAACTGTGCATAAATGAAATTGGCTTCCAATAGAAGTTTTAAAAAATCTTCCTTATCAGCATTAATAATAGCACCTATTTAACTCACAGAATTAATTTGGGATCATGCCATCTCTCTCGTTTTTCTAAAAAGAACTTTAATTTTTTTATTACACATTGTAGAAAAAGCAGAATATACAGAGAAGCAAAATTATGAATATTAAAATGATCCATAATCTCACCACCTCCAGAGAAGCATCGTTAACATTAGATTTGTCCAGGCATTTTTAATGCAAAAATTCACACACACGTGCGCGCACGTGCGCACACACACACACACGCACACAAAATGACAGAAAATTGTGATCAGAGTATACATAAAATTTTGCTTCATTCAACAATATATTATGAACATCTCTTCATCTCCATAAATATTACTTCCAAAACTTAAATTTTAATGGTGGCACATATCCCGAGATATGAACCTAATGGAAGTTGTTTTGCAAATACCCAAGTGTTTGACTTTAGGTGGTTTCCAATATTTCACCATTATAAGCAATGCCGTGGCAAACATTGTGCTGGATCTTTTGAATAGCTTTCAGTCCATCCTCTACCCTTCTCCACCATGTTGTTTGGTTCAGGAGGCTGACCTTTACATCACTGGGCTTCCTTGCCCTCTGGACTCCAGTAGGTTTGGCAAAGGGGAGGCACCAGCAAGAAATCTGGGGATAGGACAAAAGGGAGATGAGGATATTTCTGCCCCAAGCTTGCTCCCCAAAGGGCTACTGATTAGCTGAACTAGATGGCACCACACCTGACGGGAGGTTCTTTCCTACTGTTACCTCCCTCCCTGGGCTCCTGAATAGCTCCCTCCCCTGCATCTTCACGCTTAGGGTGGAAAGGTGTTCCTCCCTTTCCTAGCCCCAGAGAACTCCCCTATCTTTTGCTGATTTCCCTTAACCCTGCCCACGCCTTTATAAATAGTCCTTCATTAAATTCACTTCACTTTTCCAGCTTAAGTGTGCCATCTGTTTCTTGCTGGAAAATAGAAACAACTGTATAAGTCAGTTTCTCTACCTTTTTTTGCTGTTAGCATATAATACATTTCAGCAGCTGGAATCATTTGATCACACAGCATGTGTATTTCTAAAACCTTTTCTGATATAGCCAACTTGTTTCCCACTATTCCTTCCTCCAGCAGTGTATGGCAGTCCCAGCCGTCAGGCCCCTTGTCCAAACGAGGTATTAATCATTTTATTTTCATCTTTTTCTATGTTCATAAACATTTCTATAATATGAGGATCATCTCATCTCTGACAGTGTGTGTAGGAGGGAAGACTGTTAATTATCACAGTCTATTTTTTTCGTGTTTCTTACATAACTTTCTCAGTGTTTTCCTCTGCTATGTGCTATTACAAATTGACACGCTAGCCCATACTTGGCCTCTAAGAATTCGTTAAAATTGGCCAAGCATGGTGGCTCTTGCCTGTAATCTCAGCACTTTGGGAGGCTGAGGTGGGAGGATCACTTGATCTCAAGAGTTTGAGTCCAGCCTGAGCAACATAGCAAGACCTTGTCTCTACTAAGTATCATAAAAAGATGAGATGGGGCCAGGCACGGTGGCTCACACCTGTAATCCCAGCACTTTGGGAGGCTGAGGCAGGCAGATCACAAGGTTAAGAGATCAAGGCCATCCTGGCCAACATGGTGAAACCCCGTCTCTACAAAAAATACAAAAATCAGCTGGGCATGGTGGTGTATGCCTGTAGTCCCAGCTACTTGGGAAGCTGAGGCAGGAGAATCACTTGAACCTGGGAGGCAGAGGTTGCAGTGAGCCAGGATCGTGCCACCGGGGACTCCAGCCTGGCAACAGTGTGAAACTCCATCTCAAAAAAATAAAAATAAAAAATAAAATAAAATAAAAACACAGAACTATATTTGATTCCACATTCAATATGCATGTAATTGCTAATGGAGAAATTAATATCCTGCCTCTCACATGTTACATGGAAAACTACTTATGTAAATATTGAAGAGTCATATGAATTGTTTCTTAGTGAAAAATGTTCCCCAGACCCCATGTGCGCTTGCAGTGAATACTATTGAATTTGTGATTACCTCTGGAACTACTGATTCAAACACCGAAAGAATAGAGGAAAATGGACACTGGAAACTACTGGAGAAAGAGATTTCATTCGGCAAGAATCTATTGCATCTGTGCTATCTGAAAGGCATGACTTGATGAGTTAATTTGCCTTTGCTTACCTACACATTTCCACCACAGAAATCCTCTGCAAAGTCCAAAACCATGTCTGTTTCCAATGCTGGCCGTGGTACAGCCCACAGAGCTACAGAGTATTCAGAAGCAGTCACGTTTGGTTTTGAGGACACAGGATAAGCAGAGTGGAGAGGCATTTCCCGGAGGCCTGAATGGTATAAATCCTGACAGCGAAGGCCCTCTAAAGCAGAGACGCAGGGCAGGGGCCCTTTTTGCCCAAGTCTAAGGGCAGTATTAATCTAACTCATCTCTGTTCTGATAATTAAATGAGATAGTATATCTAAAGGACTTCACACAGTACTTGTCTCACAGCTAAGCTCTAATAGATAAAAGCTATTATACTTGTCACTATTTCTTATCATCATTTCTTATATGATGATTATTAGCTTGAAGTATCTTAAAGATACTTATTTCAGTCCCTCTGGCTTTTATTTGGATTCTAAGGTCCAAAATAATTATATTTGGTATTCTTTAAATGTTACCAACCCCTCTTAGTTGCATAAAGTATTCTTTATTATTATCAAAGTTTAAAAATTAAAAATATGTATTCAGGTTTCCCTTTGTATGGTTTTTCATTTTTGTTTTCTCTGAGACTGGCCCTATCGCCCAGGCTGGAGTATAGTGGTATGATCTTAGCTCACTGCAACCTCTGCCCCTCGGGTTCCAGCAATTCTTGTTCCCCAGCCTCCCGAGTAGCTGGGATTACAGCCACGTACCACCATGCACAGCTAATTTTTGTACTTTTAGTAGATACAGGGTTTCACCATGTTGGCCAGGCTGCTCTCGAACTTCTGACCTCAAGTGATCCACTCACCTTGGCCTCCCAAAGTCCTAGAATTACAGGCGTGAGCCACTGCACCCAGGCAGGTTCCTTTTCTTAAATAACATTTGACATGATCCTGGGTACACCTTTGAATTTCAGGCTCAGCTGATGTTTTCTGTTTCCAATTCTAGGAAATCGTCTTCTATTACAATCCTAAGTAAGCTACTGGTCTATTACTTGCTTTTAATGTACATTTTTAGGCATTTCTGGGACCTGTTGCCTACATCAATAATTTAGCTAGTAATATCATCATTTTTGTATTCAATCCCTCTGCATCTTGAATGTTTTTTCAATTAAATCTTTGGCATTGCTGCCTGGCTATACTGTAGATTTGATAGCATAGTTCTGGACTTTCATTAAGCATTAAACAAGTATTATCTTAATCCTTATAGCACTTATAGATACATTGAAATCGTTTTCTTCCTAATCTGTTTTTTTCTCTAATATTTTCAGAGAGTAGATATTGCATTGTCTGTCTACTTCACATGATATTCTTGGGCAAATACCTTCTTTTATATAAACGATAACACATGACATCTCTGCTCTGCCTTGGACCATTTACTTCCTATGCAATATGAAAATAGTTTAGTCTTCTGAGAACAGGTAGCCTTAATCCAGTTTTATGGATGACAAAATGCCTCACAGAGTTTTGTTTTGTTTTTTCATCTCTGTTCTGATAATTTGTTTCATCTCTGTTTTTTAGAGAGTCTCTCACTCTGTCACCCAGGCTGGAGTGCAGTGGTGCTATCTCGGCTCACTGCAACCTCCATCTTCCAGGTTCAAGCAATTCTCCTGACGAGTAGCTGGGACTATAGGCATGCGCCACCACGCCCAGCTAATTTTTGTATTTTTAGTAGAGACAGGGTTTCATCATGTTGGCCAGGCCGGTTTTGAACTCCAGACCTCAGGTGATCTGCCCACCTTGACCTCCCAAAGTTCTGGGATTATAGACATGAGCCACCACGCCTGACCGAATTCTTGATCCATCAAAAGTTACAGAATAAATTGAAGGCAGAACCAGAACCTAAACTCAGATTCCCAGTCCAGTGGTCATCACATAAATGACCCCTAGGTTTCTGGGTAGGTGAAAGTATCACACGTGCACTGTACCAGAGAAGTTAGTTTTCTTTCGTCTTCACTAAGTTTGTCCTAACCAGAGGGAAAGGGAGAGGGAAAATACACACAAACCACACAAAGGCTTTGTACAGGGCTCTCGTGGTTCTATCAAATTTTGATTTGATTAGTTGAATTCTAAAGATCTTCAATCCACATCTATCTGAAAAGGAAGAATTTGGTAATTTACCTCTACACACACTGTACAAAAGTAGTCATTTGCCTAAGTTTTCACCTCCTAGAATTATTATTATTATCTAGAGATGGGGTCTTGCTCTGTCACCCAGACTGAAGTGCAGTGGCTGCTCACAGGCACAATCACAGTTCACTGCAGCCTTGAACTCCTGTGTCCGGTTGGTCCTCCCACCTTGGCCTCCTAAGTTGCTGGGATTACAGGTGCTTACCACCACATCCACCTATTTTTTTTTTATTTTTATTTTTAGATGGGGGTCTCATCATGTTGCCCAAGATGGTCTTCAACTCCTGGTCTCAAGCAATCCTCCCACCTCGGCCTCCCAAGTAGCTGAGATTACAGACATGAAATAACACATCTGGCTCTAATATTTATTCTCTTTTGGGGGGTCCAGCTATTTATTTCAGGGAGAGGGCAGGGGAGGGGACTTAGTCTTTCTTGGCAGCAGCTTTCTTCATGACAGCCAGGACGTTGCTCAGCTCCTCCCCACCCTTTTCTTGATGAACTTCAGAGCCCGTTTGTCCTTGGAGACCTTCAGTAACTCCATGGCATGCCGCTCATACGGGGTGATGCCATACACCTCCCGGCTCATGTCCTGCACGAACTTGATGTGTTTGGTCGGACGGCCATGGCAGTGACTGTGGCTGGGCTTGCTGGCGTTCTTGGTTACCTTGTGGCCCTTGTTGAGGCCCACTGCCACAGGGTAGCAAAGAGCCATGGCTGCTGCTCTCCAATGGCCACGGTGGTGGAAGCTTATTCTTTATTCTAGTTGCTTTATGAACTCACGTGGAATGATTTGCAGAATAAATTGTTAAGTGAAAAGAAAGTATGGCCAGACATGCTGGCCCATGCCTTTACACAATCTCAATGCGTTGGGAGGCCAAGGCGGGAGGATGGCTTGAGCCCAGGAGTTTGAGACCAGCCTGGGCACATGGTGAAATCCTGTCTCTATTTTAATAAATAAATAAAAAGGAAAAAAAAAAAAAAGGAAACAAGTAAATCTGAGCACTTTGGGTGGCCAAGGCAGGCAGACTGCTTGAGTCCAGGAGTTATAGACCAGTCTGGACAACATGATGAAACTTCATCTCTACAAGAAGTACAAAAATTAGCCAGGCGTGGTGGCAAGCACCTGCGGTCCCAGCTACTTGGGAGGCTGAGATGGGAGGATCACTTGAGCCTAGGAGGTCAGGGCTGCAATGAGCCATAATCACATCCCTGTACTGCAGCCTGGCTGACAGAAAGAGACCTTGTCTCAAAAAAAAAAAATTACCATTCTCTACAAAAAGAAAACAAGGTAGTAGGGCGGGGCTGAGTTCGGGGACAGTAGTATTTTGTAGTTTTTAAGAAAAAATTCATTCCAGAACTGGTGAGCCTGAAACATCTCATGTCAAGAAGTAAGGACATGCTCAAAGAATGATGGAGACCTGTCAAAAGGACGCAGGAGCTAGCTTGGAGAGACTCCCACTAGACAAAATAAGAAAATCTATACATCAAAAAAACAGTGATAGCGTGAGAGGCGTGTGAACCAGAGAAACTCCATCTTGAATAGGAGCTGGGTAAAATGATAGTGAGACCTCCAGGCTGCATCCTCAGACCATTAAGGCATTCCCATAGGAGGTCGGCACAAAATACAGGTCATAAAGACTTTATTGATAAAACAGTTTGTAATAAAGAAGCCAAAACCCAGCAAAACCAAGATGGCAACAAGAGTGACCTCGGTCATCCTCACTGCTACACTCTCACCAGCACCATGACAGTTTACAAACGCCATGCCAATGTCAGGAAGTTACCCTATATGGCCTAAAAAAGGGGATGCATGAATAATCCACCCCTTGTTTAGCATGTGATCAAGAAATAACCATAAAAAATGAGCAAACAGCAGCCCTCGGAGCTGCTCTGTCTATGGATTAGCCATTCTTTTGTTTCTTTACTTTCTTAATAAACTTGTTTTCACTTTACGAACTTAACCTAAACTCCTTCTTGTGTGAGATCCAAGAACCCTCTCTAGGAATCTGGATCAGGATCCCTTTCCTGTAACACTGTTCTGGCGACCACAAAAGAACTATAGTACAGAAATCCCTGATCCAAAGGCTAACTGCAGGTAAGTCTTGGGGTCCTATAACATCTTTCTGGTGACCACGGAAGCAACTATAGTATGGAAACCCCCAGCCCAATGGCTAACTTTGGGTAAGCGGTGGGGTCCAGTCACACCTTTCTGGTGAACCCTGAGGGGACAATACTGAAGATAACTCCCTGACACAAAGGAAATACACTACAACACTGATTGGACAACTTTGGATAAGCGGTGGGGTACCTGGATAAAGGATGGGATTGGGTTAGAGGCACTACTTAGGGGAGTTAAAGTGTCTCCTAAGACAGAGAGGGTTAAAGCCTCCTCTCAATAAAAGGCAAGGATGCTATAATCCCAGCACTTTGGGAGGCCAAGGGGGGTGGATCACGAGGTCAAGAGATCAAGACCATCCTGGTCAACATGGTGAAACCCCGTCTCTACCAAAAATACCAAAAAAAATTAGCTGGGCATGGTGGCACAGGCCTGTAGTCCCAGCTACTCAGGAGGCTAAGGCAGGAGAATTGCTTGAACCCAGGAGGCCAAGGTTGCCGTGAGCAGAGATTGCGCCATTGCACTCCAGCCTAGGGAACAAGAGCGAAACTCCATCTAAAAAAAAAAAAAAAAAAAAGGCAAGGATGCTTGACTGACCTTACGTTAGAGGCCCAACTTAGGAGGATTAGAGTCCCTTCTAAGATTTAGAGGGTTAGAAACCCCTCTGAGTAGGTAAAGTCCCTTTTGGCTAAGAATGGGTTTGGCACTACTGGATGTTAACTGCTATTCTCCTTGGATTAATCTGCCTTGTTCCCTTTGCAAATGGCTGTGAGTGACAGGATAGGCATGTACAGGATCGTGGGACATGGGGAGCTTTTTCTTGCCTAAGCGCGGGAACTTGAGAGCCGGCAGGACTGCTGGAAAAGATCCCTCACTGCCTACAAGCAGCCGCCTGAACTTTTCAGTGTCACTGCAATGGGTGGGTCTTTCTCTGGCTTCTTTGAGCACCTAGCCTTTCCCACCCTGCCTCAGGCAATGCTTTCCTCTCTCTTTCTCTCGCTCTGTGCACACTGGTTGATTAAATGGTTAAAAAAATAAAAACAAAAATACTGTTTATCCCCTCTGTAAAGTTTTGATTGGTGAAAACCAAAAGGATTTATGATGCTAGTCGTAAGCCACAGCGAACGTGTTGTGTGTCTTTTCTGTATTGTTCTGTTATAAAGAGGGGTACCTTAGGATAGAACACTGGCTTAGGACAGCTTTAAGCCCTGTTTTCAAGATGGCCCAGCAAACTGGCCAGTTGCCAACTTTGCTGCAGGTCCCTGAAAAAAAACTGGATGAGGTTTCCTTCTTGTCTTGTACATCCTTGGGAGCTTGACCTTGGACCCATGTGGCCATGCTTTCACTTTTCATAATGGTGGCCCAGGCTTAGGGTTCAATTCCCAGCTTACAGAATGATCCTTTATCTTCTGTCTGTCTGTGTATTTATATATGTGGTGTGTGTAATATAAAAGAGCTTTAACTAACTGGTTTAATAATAATAAGCGCTTAAATCAAATGTTTTATCAGAAAACTAAAAAGCATAATGCCTTTTAGTTCATGTGACAAGTAATCTTTGGGAAATAAAGATAATTTTAAAAATTATTGGTAAAATTAAAATATCTTAAAAATGCAAACATTTGGTCTAAATTATCCAGGTCAGACATTAAGTTTGCTAAATGCTTTTAAGGTCATAAACTGCTTTTTTAACTTTTGAGCTTTAGATTCTAGATAAGGCCTAGGGCATGTAGAGTTAGCCAAGCCCCCTAGCTATGCTGGCATCACCTCTTATCTGCATTTCTGCCTGGTGTGTCCTATGTTAGGCTCCACAGGTAGTGCACAATTAAAATTGCTACTTACCAAGGTTTGTTACCAAAAGTAAAAGTCACTAAGGGTAAACATTACAACATGTAATTGAGACTACTGAAGAAACACTTTTATGTACAAGATGCATAAAGAAAGTGAAATGTGTTTTTGGCAAAAGATTATAAAAAGTCATGGGAATTTTTTTCTTGCCTAGATTAAAAGGGTTAAAGGATTGTTTTAAGTTAGGAAAAATCTAAAGGCTTAAACAAGTTGTGAAAAGTTTGTGAAAAATTAATCTTGTAAAAGAAATTCTGTGTGTGAAGATATTGGCTTAAATTAAAGGGGTATCACTTAGTTTTTCATAAATTGAACATTGGAATAAAAGCACAACAGGCTTTTCTTAGCGCAAAAACCTGCTTATGATCTGCTCTTTAACAAAAATTTATAAAGTGTTATAAAAGGTTTATGAAAATCTTACCTTGGAACCATTATCATCAAACTGATATTGTAAAAATCCATAAAAGGTTATAAAAGGTTTATTAAAATCTTACCTTGGAACCATTATCATCAAACTGATTAAGATTGAATACATTTGTCTATGAGGTTTCATTAAGAATTGAGTTTGACATCAACAGTGCACTAATGCAATAGTGACATTTGGCTTCTTTGGTATAAAAATTATACAGGAAGCATTATCAAATATGAAATGGTGTTTGGCTTTCTTTGGGCTGTATTTGCATAAATGTATTAGTATATGTTCCAAAATTATAGAAAACTCCTATAATTCTGATATGACTTATTGTATGTTGTTAATAAGTATAATTGTTACAAAAAATCATTGTGTGATTGTATGACAGAGGTAATAAAATTTCTTCATCAATTTTGTTTTTGAATGTGGCTGTCCTAAAACATGTTGTCATCCACAAACAATTGTTGTCCTGTTTTAATCCTCTTTAGAAGGTGGTTTATAATTGGCTATTGGACTCTAACAGGTTTTCTTGAAAGCAGGTTGCTAATAACTTTGGAAATTGTGACATTAGAATAGAGGAAACAATTTTCAGAACTCTCATAGAGAGCTAAAATGTTCATGAATATCAAGCAAGACAGGAGTTAACTAAACTAACTGAACCAATAAAAAAAAACTGAAGTAATCTTTTTAACGTTGCTTAAAACATTGCTGATCCTTTGCTTTGCTTTTCAGAGTCAACAAAACTCTTCTTTTGAGCTATTTACAGCTTTTAGCAATTGAGTAAAGCATACTCCTATGAACAAAATTTGGAGCATATTTATTTCTCTCTACCTAATTTCTCCAGAATTTACAAACTATTTGTGAGTATTCTTAACTTATGGTAATAGTTATTTGCATAAGTTATTTGCATAAGAATCTGTTTTCTTTTGTAACAGGACACAATTGAAATAACTGATACAAGGCTTTGACTGGAATGATGTGCTTCCCTTTAAGAAATTAAACTTGACTTACAGAGCCAATAAAAGCCCCTTGGGGAACTGGCCTCATACCTTGCCTCCACAGTCCCTGTACAGGGCTTCTACAGGGACTGTGGTAAGTAAAGAATGTCACTTCCTCACAGATCCAGGAGCCCCAAGTTATTTTGGGACCTCAAAGGAGAGGAATTTACTCAACTCATAGGTATTTGAGGGTACACACCCATGGCTGAGCTCAGCTTTTAAAAAGCCTTATCTGAGATTCCTTCTGTATAACAGAGTTCCATCAAAGCCAATTTAAAAAGACCTTATGTGAAAAATACTCTTGCTATACTTTATACACATCAGGCCAAGTATAATAAAACAAA